ATTGAAAATAAAATTTTTAAAACATAAATTTAAAAAGGAAAGAAATTGGTCCACAATAGCAAATGTATAAAGAGAAATAAAGTGTGAGAGAGGAATTAAATCTGATTCCAGATAGAAAAATCAATTAGTAAATGACTATATTTGAAACAAGTTAATCACAGTGGACTATTTGATTCTCCAATGAGTAATACTTATATGACGATACTCAACCACTGACTTAGGATATTACTAAAATAATGATGCAGATATATCAAAAGTAATATAAGGGATCTAAATTCCCATTGATTGCTAGCAGAAGCGAATATTGACAATCAAGAAGTAGAGCAACTCATAAGGATTATGAGGAGGCAGCTGCTGACAAACGAGCTGCTTCTGCACAGTGGCAAATGGTGGGATGGAAGGGAACATGGGATTCTTTTACCGTACAGACACATTTTGTTAATAGCGTTTCAGGCATGTTTGAAATCACCAGCATGGCCAGTATCACACAGCTTCACAGAGGCGGCCCCACCACCCAGCCTGGCTCTTACTCTGAGTCATGTAAGTGTTCAGCTCAGGACCCCTCGGCGGGAACATGGCAGGGGATCCACATACCTTTGTTGCCTACTTCAGAAAGACTTTCCTTTTAGGTGAGTCTCGGGCAATTTTATTGCTTTGAAATCAGAGGTGGGAAAATTCTGTGGAAAGGTTAAACATGGTGGCAAGGTTTCTTGACCTTGGTACATTAACATTTTGAGCCAGAAATTTTCTTGTTATGGAGGACTGTGCTGCCCATTTTAAGACACTGAGCTGCATCTCTGAGACAGTCTACTAGCAAGGATAACCCCTCCAGTTATAACTACTGAAAACATCTTCAGATGCTACCAAGTGTGTCCTGGAAGCAAAATTTTGCCCCTTGGATTACAACCCAAGGTTCTATAAAAATGTAAAGGGAAATATTGCACATCATAGGTCCCTAGGAAATAATACAAGCTCATAATTGTCCCTTTAAAGTATGCAAAAAACTTCTTTCTTTTTAAATTTCTGGAGAGACTTCCTGTAATACATAATCCCTGGGAGTAAGTTGCTGGGATGTTTAGTGGAAAGAGAAGAGGGGGCTCTCTCTCTCTCGTTCGTACTTGGCAACTTGCTCACAAATTGGAAGTGCTCTAAATGGTGTGAATTGATCTGTGTTGTCATTTGGAATTGTGGCGGGGACACTTCATGACAATTCAGATCTTTGAAAGTGACATTACTACAGAAATATTAATGTTGATAAAAAAAAGTTCTCCCTTCTTTAAAAAAAAAATTGAAACAGAACAAACAAAGCACACACACAGAAAGAGTGAAGTCAGTGCTATTTCATAGTCTGCGTTGACTCTAGCACTGTCTCTCCACCCACAAAGATGCAAGTTCCACTTCTGCAGATTCAAAACAACATGAACCAAAAATATTATTTTCAGCCTAGCGTGGTGGTACACACCTTTAGTCCCAGCACTTAGGAGGCAGAGGCAGGCAAATCTCTGTGAGATTGAGGCCAGTCTGCTCTATATAGCGAGTGCCAGGCCAGCTGGGGCTGCAGGGCGACCTCTTCTCAAAAAAAAAAAAAAAAAAAAAAAAAAAGACCAAAATAATTTATTTTAAAACAATATGCTATAATTACATGTATTTATTTTCTTGTCATTATTCCCAAATGATATGACTATTTACATTGTACTATGTACTGTCAGTAACCTAGAAATGACAAAGTCCACAGGACAATGCATAAGTCACATGTGAGCACTGTGTCATCTTGTATAAGGGACTTAAGCATTGTTGATGATTTTGCTATCTATGGGGTCCTGCAAACAATCCTTCATGAATCCTGAGGAACTATACTAAGAAATGCAAGCCATTCGTGGTGCAACAGCAGTCCCAGAGGGCTTATGTTCCCACTCTCTACTGCCATGAAACTATGGAGAAGACAGGGGCCTGAGGAAGAGGCTGTCTGTGTGAGTATAAGTGCACTTGTTTTGTGCAGTGCTCTTGGAGGTTAGAAGAGGGTGTTGGATTACCTGGAACTGCAGTTAAGAAGAGTTGTTAGCTGCCATGTGAGTGCTGGGAATCAAACCTGGGTCCTCTGCAAGAGCAGCCAGTACTTTCAACGACTGAGCCATCTCTCCAGCCTCAAACGGGCTTTTAAGAGACCTAGGTTGTGGGAAGCAATGAACACTAGGAAACAGCGCCAAAACAGAGCGAGGAGAGTGCCAAGGACAGATTCTGCCACAAAGGCACTTGTCACATTCCTCCCTCACTTCCTGTCTCTCACAGGCTGGGTGGAAAAGCTCCGTTCTTCCTGGCCCAAGCTTGTCCTCAGTCTCTCTCCGGACTGTGCTGTGATTCTCCTTTGGCCCCATATCTGCAATCAGCAGATGACATCAGTGTGACTAATCAAGGGGTGAAAACAGAAATAAAAAGTATGGCCCCAGGCCCCAAAGAGTTCACAGTCTGGTTGGGAACGCGGATAAAGCGTTATGGTCTGGTGTGTGCATAAGTAAATGAAATGGAGCAAGTGCAAAGGAAAGTGAGTGGGGCTCCATGGGTGATGTGGCAGACACATGTCTCTGCTGAATTCCAAATAACAGAAATGTTATGGGAAAATGGATGGGGGTGAGGTATCTTGCTTTAAACAGGTTTTTTAAGTGTGGTATTTTTATTAATTCTTTGAAAATTTCATACATGCATATAATATATTTTAATCATGTTTACCTTACTACTCCTCTCCCAGACTCCCCTAGATTCATGCCTCCCTTTATCTCCCAACTTAATGTCCTTTTTTTTTTTTTTTTTTTGGTAATAACCCCACTGAGTTCGGTTCGTGCTACCCACTTATAGGGGTCATTTCCATAGTTTGTCAAATAGAATTCCTTAAGTGACCAATCGTCTGGCCAAGGGCTTAAATTGGGGCATGAAAACAAACTCATTCTCTATTCCTTTAGGCTTGTAATCTGTAAGAACATTTACAGAGAATGTGTTCCTTCAGAAGACAGGTGGTGTAGTGCAAGCAGTTCCAGTCAAACGGCCCTCAACTAGGCACGCTTCTACATAAAATATGTTAAATATGATAGGAAAATTGTGGTGCTTGGCTCTAAAGTTATAACTCAATGAATTAAATCCACTTGGAAGTCAGAAGGAAAAAAGAACTTAGAAAGGAAAGGTCAAGGAGCGGCTCAGCCAGACCCACTGAGACAAACGAGTTGGAATCCTAGCTCGGACTCCAGCGTGTGCATCCCTCAGCTTGTGTTTGATTCCTAAACCACAGCTGCTAACAGTATCTACCTCGTAAGATGGTACTGAGAATAAACAGGATAAAATACTGCAGTGAAATTATCTGTGTGTGATTATATACGATAAATTATTTGAAATGATCTGTATGAGAATAGCTCCTTTTCTCTTCAATAGCTCAGGGATGAAGGTACAAATCAAATACAAAGTGAGTTTCTTATTCCTATTGTGAAATTAATTACATAACAGTTGAGATAAATTTGTAATTATTTCAGATCTGCTAGTACAAATCCAGGCAGGACATAAAATATATCTGTTTTGAAAATTAGTCTGGGGGGTGCTGGAGAGATGGCTCAGCAGTTAAGAACACTGGTTGTTCTTGCAGAAGACCCAGGTTCAAATCCCAGCACCCACATGGCAGCTAACGACTGTCTGAACTCCAGTCTCAAGGGATCCTACAGCCTCTTCTGTCCTCCACAGGCATTGCACGACATGGGTGTACTTACCTACATGCAGGCAATACACACATACACATAAAAATAATTTTAAAAAATTAGACTGGGGGTGTGAGGAGAGATGACTCAGTAGTTAAGAGCACTGGCTGCTCTTACAAATCCCAGCACCCATGTGACAGCAAACAACCTTTTGTAACTCCAATTCCAGGGGATTCAACGAGCTCTTCTGGCTTCTGTGGGCACTGCATGACACAGGTGCACTTACATACATGTAAACAAAACACTTCTACACATAAAAGAAAAACTTAAAAATTAGACTAGGGGATGCATGCATGCATGAGGTCCTGACTCAGTCTCCAATATCACACAATAATGATAAATAGGATGAAAATTAGATCTGAATTATGATCTCAACCAGGTAACATTCTGATAAAGGAAAAACTATGGGTACCACAAAAAGACTGGGAAAAAGAAAGGAAGAAGGGCCAAGTTATAAAGAATATTTCTGTATAACAAAGCCATTCTGCATAGGACTGCAACGGGGGATGTGTGTCATTCTATTTTTTCCAAACCCACAGCATGTACACCAACACAAAGGGAACTCTGTTGTAAAGTATGGTCTGCACGTGAGGCTGAGACAGGCTGAGCCGCTGTAACAAATGTGCTAATCTGGCATGGGATGTGGAAAGGGGGAGAGGTGCCTGCAGGGGGCGCAGAGGAACACCTTGTACTATCCTCTCTGTTCTGTTATGAACCTAAAACTGCTCTAAAAAATGAAGATATTTTTTCAAAAATTCAGCATGTTTTAACTTAGAAGAAAATGAGCTGCTAGGCTCTGTAGCTGTCTTTGGGACAGGAAGCCACCTAGTGGCAGAGGCTCCAGGCTCTGTGTCCCATCGCCCCAGGAGTACATGAGAGGGGATTAATGAACCAGTCCTAGGAAGTTCATTCTGAAATGTATTGTGACAAATCCTTCAACCCCAGGGTGACCTTTTCAGGTGGTTTTCCTATGAATCAGGGACAAATATGGATCCGAAACATGAGAAAACATTGCTATTCTAGCACAGAAAACTTGGGGAGTGTGAGAGGTTTCAGTTTTGCCTCTTTGCAAGAGGTCCCAGCTTCTCTTCCATTCAGCAGAGAGGATCTGAAAAAGCAGCAGGTCCCTGGGAAGCCTGGGGGAAGATTCCTGCCAGGAGCTGAAGCCGCCTGATGTGTGGGAAACAGGTGTGCTTTCACCAAACAAGATCACAGGAGAGTCACCTGTGCACTGGAACACCGATGTTCAAGCAAGACTAAATATTTTAGAAACATGTTTTTATTAGAAGCATCACCTGAGGAACTAAGTACTAAAATAAGTAACTCTACGGGGTAAGAAGTAGTCCATGAGGAAATACAGTCAGGGTCTTGTGAATTCTCCCAGGGAAGTGGGTGGAAACAAGAAGGAAGTGGTTACCTGCCCTGTGTTGTCCACAGCTATATATAAGGGCCCCCTGAAACAAAGGACATCACACCTCCTCTCCTCTCCCGAGTCTCTCTCCTCACTTCGCCTGACTCCTCTCTACTGACACCATGGGTTGTGGTGGCTGCGGTGGCTGCGGTGGCTGTGGCGGCTGTGGTGGCTGTGGCGGCTGCAACAGCTGCACCACCTGCAGATGCTACAGGACCGGCTGCTGTGGCTGCTGTGGTGGCTGCTGTGGATGCTGCTGCCCTGTGGTCTGCTGCTACCGCCGCAGCTGCTGCCGTTCCTGTGGCTGTGGCTCCTGTGGCTGTGGCTGTGGGAAGGGCTGCTGTCAGCAGAAATGTGGGTGTCAGAAGCAGTGCTGCTGTTAGAAGGGCTGTGAGCCCTGTTCCTAGGCTGGGAAATGCTTGAGGCCTTGCTTACTGCATCTGGTAAGACTTGGTGCTGCCGTCCAGTTCTCTGCCTCCTTCTCATCTCCCTGTATGCACCAGAGCTCCTCTTTCTGTGCCCTGTCCTCTGATGGTTCAAGGTCGTTTCTTTCCCTTTTGATTGATATCATGGCTCCTATAATTTCTCCTTCCTGAACCTTCCTGGACTTCTGTGTTCAGGAGGTATATATTTTCTGTCCTCTTTGTAATCTTTACTCCATTTAGAAAAAAGATGAAAAAAATAGCATATTTATCATTATTATATTATTATTAAATTA